GCCCTGCAAAACAGGCTATAGACTGGACTCTGCAGAAGGGGTTGCCGCTTACAGGAGTAGCCCATAACCCAAAAGGCCTCGGGTAAAATTTCCAAAGGTGTCTAAATTCATCTTCAAATGGGATTTGGGCACTTAGAACCCTAAATCCCACTGACAGAGAGACTTGGGCTCTTAGGGTCTAAGTCACTTAGGCACTTTTGAAAATTTCACTCTTGATCTACATACAGGTTTTGTACATATACACTATATATTTTAAACAGATATAGTTATAGCAGTACTGTCCCTAGTGTGAATGCAATTATACTGGCATAAAGGTGCCTTATACCGATATAACTATTCCTGAATGGAAGAGGAATAAACTATACTGATCTAAACACCTTTACACCAGTATAACTGTATAAAGCTGTACAACCTCTCGCCACACTGGGGGCAGGAGGGAAGGGAGAGGGGGTTGTACAGCTTTAACTATACTGATATAGTTTGAGCAGTACAACTTGTGTGTGTAGATGAGTCCATCTGTCTCAGAGCACTATCCCCTCTGGTTTAAATTAATCCAAATCTAGCCTCCAACCTGCAGTAGTCAGAATAATCCATCCAAAGGTAATGGTGCAGATTTGTACATTTCCAGCCCTAGGTTTCTCTAGCTCAGAAATATTCTCTCTAATCCATTTTTTGTAATTCAAGGCTGGGGATCTTAGGGTATATGTCTACACTTACCCGGTAGTTCGGCGGCGAGCGATCGAACTTCTGGGTTCAACTTATCGCGTCTTGTCTGGACGCGATAAGTCGAACCAGGAAGTGCTCGCCGTCGACTGCGGTACTCCAGCTAGACGAGAGGAGTACCGCGGAGTCGACGGGGGAGCCTGCCTGCCGCGTGTGGACCGAGGTAAGATCGAACTAAGGTACTTCGAACTTCAGCTACGTTATTCACGTAGCTGAAGTTGCGTACCTTAGTTCGATTTGGGGGGTTAGTGTAGACCAAGCCTTAGAGAACATTACAGAGAAGAGAGCGCACACACCCCCACCCCCCCAAAGATAAAACTAAATAGAAACTACAGTAAAGGAAACCAGACAGAATATCACCATTTCATCTCAGCAAAAGGCAGGACCAGTCTTTCCTTTCTGCCTGTTTTAAAACCTCACGGGGGGAATCATATCTCTGTGGCACTTTTTCCTTCTCTATTATGTGTAATGTGGCAACAGTGGTCTGGCCTTGAGTTGCAAAAAGGGAGATCGTTATTGAGTCAGACACATTGCAGAGAAGGCTTAAAACCACTTGGAAAGCAATTTAGCTTGACCATATCACTAACTCCCTTTTATCCAGGGGAAATTCAGAGGGTTAGAAGTCAGTGTCAGTCCCAAATAGATCTAATTTCTTTGTAAAAATGGCACTGGGGCAGTGGCCCTTCATTGTGTAGTTGCAAGAAGAAGAAAAAAAGTACAGTTTCCCCTTCTTATTCCCCCCCTCCACACACACACACACACACTTCTCTGTGCTCAGGGAGCTGTGATATTTCACAGAAGGGAGAATGGATTTAATGTGACACAGAGCATCTATCTACTGTACTATTTAAAGTTACACCTGGTGATCTGATGGTTTGGACTAGCCCACTAGAAACCAGAGCTTGCGGGAAGAGATGAACTGGGAGCATGCAGTCTCGCAGGGCTGGGAACAGCTAATAACTGCAGGAATATGCTGCAAAGGAAGCTTGGAATTACTGGGATTTGCACAGCAGGCCTCATGGCAGCCTATAATGAGGGGGAAGGGGAAAATCATGAAACATTCAGGCCCCTCTGTGCACTCATATGCCAAGTCCCTGCCCAAGACCCAGGTCCTGCATCAAGCTCCATGTGTATGGGTCCCTCCGAGAGCCCCAATGAAGTTATCGGGAGCTCCATACAGGAGTCTGCCCAGGAGGATCTCATTGTAGGATTGGGGCATAAAGGAGATGAAATTGTAAGCTTTTGGGGGCAAGGACCATTGTTTTGTTCTGTGTTTGTACAGTGCATATCACAATCGGATCCTGGTCTGTGACTGGGGCTCCTAGGTACTTGCACAATACAATTTAATTACACCTCTACCCCGACATAACGCTGTCCTTGGGAGCCAAAAAAATCTTACCGCGTTATAGGTGAAACCGCGTTATATCGAACTTGTTTTGATCCACCGGAGCGCGCAGTCCCGCCCCCCTGGAGCGCTGCTTTACCGCGTTATATCCGAATTCGTGTTATATCGGGTCGCATTATATCAGGGTAGAGGTGTATTTCATTAATTCATATGGACCTTATCCCCAATTTAAGAATATGCAGGACAAGGATTCTCTGTTAGAACAGTGATGTTTGAATGTTATATTTGTCCCTCTATCTTATTCTTAGGTTACTTTCAGGCTCCCATTTTTGTAGTATCCGAGTGCATCATTAGCTTATTTATCCTACCAACAGCCCTGTGATGGAGGAAAATGCCATTATCCCCATTTTATGGATATGAAAACTGAGGCACTCAGAAACGAAGCGATATGGCTACGGTCACACAGGAAGTTCATCACAAAATATGGAATTGGAGACAGGTTTCTTGAATCATAGGCTAACACCCTAACCACTGGGCCATCCTTCCTCAAACACGGAATTGGGGGGGGAAGGGGGAGATGGACATACAGATTAAAGCATATAATCTCTAAAGGCTTTATGAAAGAAGGAAGCAGGAGATGCTAGTCATGTTTAAGAGTCCTTCAGAGATGCACCTATTCCAGTATTCATGTGAAACCACTAAGCATAAACAAGCAAGCACTTAGGAGCAACATTTCTCCGGCAGCAAGAATCCAACTTCTGCCCCCAGATTCCCTTCTTCCCAGTCTCTCAACACCAACATTAAATAATAAGCGAGACCCCCGCCCCCAAGGGGAAGCCAGCAGCATCCCTACCGAGGGCTCCCTGGCAGATGTCTGTGCGGGTGGCTCCATCCACAATGAACTGCGGGTTGGAACACATTTCCTGAAACAAAACATAGTTTGGTTTTTAAAGTTTCAGTGACTGGGATATCAGTTCTTAGAATGCTATGCAGTCCAGCTAGGCAAAGCCATAACCTTTGATCTACATTTGTTAACCCTGAAGTATGTGGCCACTTTTTCACAATGGCAGCCCAGTGAACATTTAGGATTATGTGCATGGTAAGTATCCAAAGTCTCTTAATCATCCTGGTTAGAGACAGTTTTTGAAAGAAGGACAAAGACAATTACTGTTGGGTGTTTGTACAGAGCCTAGCACAATGAGGTCCTGTCCTGGTCCATGACTAGGACTTTTTAGGTGCTGAGTAATACAATATATAATACTTTTATTGTAAATTCTTTGGAGCAGTCCTTTTGTTACATGGTTGTACAGTACCTAGTGCTATGGGGCCCTGATTCCCCACTGGGGCCTCTGGACAGTACTACGATACAAACAACAAAAACTCCTCTTCCATGCTGTGTCTCATAATACAAGCACAGGGGAGTCACTCACATTTAATAACAGGTGCTCCACATGTAGAAGGAATACAAAGAAAAACATCTTTGCAAAGCATGCAGTCAGCATTGCAGGAGGTCAGAGAGTTCGCCACTATATGCACTCAGATACTACAGTGGTAAGGCCATATAAATAGATAGGTAGGCTGTTTATGGATTTTAAAGAGAGCTGGATGATTTAATGACTAGACAGGCATGCAGCAGTAAAAACTGCACAATTCACTAAGCATATTCCTCTGAAGCACCAGATATCGGCCTCTGCTGCAAGTGGGATTCCAGACTTATCTTACGAATGGTCCAATCTAGTACAGCAAGAAGCTGGATACCAAAGTAGATGGCTGATTGCTCTGATCTGAAACAGCAGGAGCCAGGTTACTAAGCTAGTAGCATTGATCTGATACAACATGGCAAACCCTGGGTTCTAATTAAGCAGTTGCACTCAATCATTGGAATCAGGGTGGATTGCCAGTTAAATCAGCTAAATCAATGGCAGAAACAGAAATAGTTGCTAGTTCTTTGGCTCTAACCACTAGACAGCACTGCCTATATGGGTTTGAAAATTCCACCATGACAGAATTTACAGAGGCAAACAAAAAAAATCCCAATTTTCCTTGTTTCATTGATTGCCCAAAGAAAAAGATTCAGGAGCGATTCTCTATATAGGACACAAACAAATACATCCCATAAGTGGTACGTGGGAGGAATTAATTCTTGCCTCACCGTGGGTCTCTTCCACTTGATTCCATAGGTTTTGGAGGAGTTTGGACCCAATTCTTTGAAGCCCAAGGAGGCGGCTGCAGGAGGGAAGATGTCATCTCGGAAGAGGGCTCCACTCTGTAAGCATGCATTCCGAAGCTTCTCAAAGTCCTGGCCCAAGTACTTCATTGCATTCTCATGCTGCCCCAGGCCTAGATCCTTAGCCCTCTGCTTCTGGACCTGAGCGGAGACGCCTGTGCAATACACTGGGGTGATGATTTCTTCTGCCATCTTTGGCAGCTATTGGTCTAGGCAAGCCCCACTGAAACAGAGAAGACAAGAATAAACAGCATAAGTGGAGAACTGAACCTCACAACCCCTTACATAGCTTTAGCCAAACGACCTAATAGCAAAGCATAGCATGTAACCTGATGAGTATACATAGCTGTACTAAGTCCTCACCTCCCCAGATGGACCTGCTCTCCGCTGCATGTAGTTCTCACCTGCATAGATATCTTCCAACAACACTTAATTTTATGTGTTTTTCTCTCCTCTGCTGTGTGAAGGACCCACCCGAAACAGACACAGTCCTCTTATGCTATCTATAACAACAGTAAGGCCTTATCTATGCTAGCAATCTGTACCAGGAAATGGTCGGTTTGCATAGTGCCACTAAGGCCATATGTATACCTTACAAGCTTACAGCAGCACAGCTGTACCGCTGTAAGATCACTTGTGTAGCCGCGTTATGTCAATGGGAGAGAGCTCTCCCCTCTACATAATAAAACCAGCTCAATGATCAGCAGGAGAGTGTTTCCCACCGACCTAAATGCTCACGTGCACAGCGCTATGCTGACAAAACTTATATCGCTCAGGGGTGTGTTTTTTCACACTCCAGAGAGACACAAGTTTTGCTGACATAAGCACTAGTGTAGACATGGCCTAACAAAACTATTTAGGCAGAGCATGTTCACATCTGGCCATTTGTGCCAGTGTCCTGTGTCTACATAGCATCAAGTTGTATCAGCAAAATTATGTTGCACTGTGGGTAGGCATCCCAGTGTCCTCCATGCCACTTTCAGGCAAACTACCTTGTGGGAAGTTGATGCTGTGTATTATGTGGTGGATGCTGTGTATTCTGAGATGCCTCCATGCATCTCAGGAAATTGTGGGGTGATGGACTCAAGACAGGAGTCAGATTTCAGAGTGGTAGCCAAGTTAGTCTGTATCAGCAAAAAACAACGAGGAGTACTTGTGGCACCTTAGAGACTAACAAATTTATTTGGGCATAAGCTTTCGTGGGCTAGATCCCACTTCATCAGATGCATGGAACGGAAAATACAGTAGGAAGATATATACACAGAATACATGAAAAGATGGGGGTTGCCTTACCAATTCTAATGAGACAATTCAATTAAAGTGGGCTATTATCAGCAGGAGGAAAAAAAATCACTTTTGTAGTGGTAATCAGGGTGGCCCATTTCAAACAGTTGACAGGAGACAGGAGTGTGATTTTTAAATGAACCATGTCCCTTTGAAAATGCCAGCCTTACTTCTGGGGGAGTCAAGGGGGCCAAAGGGAGCAGAGGCTTTCAATGGGAGTTTGAGAGCCTCAAGACTCTGTGGAGTAATGTTCTGAACAGACCCAACAACTGAATGGCTGGCCAGCAGGATTTAGAACACAATGTAAAATGAGGTAACAACCTTTGGATTATACAAACCAATGGAGTGCCCATTGCATTGGCAGAATTTCATGAGTTGATTTATTATCACGTGTTTTTTTTTATTTCAGCATGGTAACAAATGCAGTGCAATTTCCAAAGTTTCCCAAGAAGAGACAAAAAGGTTCTAGCAGACAAAAAGCTTTACCCTGGGAAGATATTTAAAGACAGAAGAGGAATATAGCACTCTGGAGCGGCTGAACATTCTTCAGGTACTTTAGAATTTGTTCACACACAGAATAACCCGTCCATACGATTCCAATTAGTGTGATAGAGTTGTTCATAGAACTAGCATGCAAGAAAACGCCCACAGGGGATAAAATCATTGACTGTTATGCTGCCCAACACCACCAAGTCCTGCAGCTGCAGAACTAATTACATGATAAAATACCATACCTGCAGCATTAGCAAGCCACCCAGATAAACAGCAATCCCCACACCCACAATTAGCTCCCTTTCTGGTTACTGGCTGTGAAAAGAATGTGAATCAAGAAGATTCAAGGAAAAAGGAGGGAACAAACAGGAACCACAACCGGCAACCTCCTGTGGACTCAGACCAAGAGCATGGATCTGAACTCCTGGAGGTCTCTCCAGAACCCAGCACTTCCAGGCTGCGGAGTATTTCTATCATACAATTAGCCAGATCTTCAGCTCTCAGTCAGTGTAACTCCAATGAAGCCAATGGAGTTATGACAATATACAGTATATAGTCTTTAAGGTGTCACCGGACTCCTTGTTGTTTTTATGACAATATACAGTAGCAGCTGAGGATCTGGCCCAACATGTCTTCAGCCTGGTCTTCGCTACCAGTTTTAAACCATGTTAGACAACTATAGCGCAGTCAGCCTCTGCACACTGAGGTACTTGGCCTAAATACTGTTTGCAACTCCTGCATTGGTAACCGTGTTTCCCAGAGAGGTAACATGGGTGCACTAAGCTGCTGACAAAGGTGTTTTCAAACCTGGTTTAGTGGACAAAGGCAAAACAGGCATCAATACCTTTGCCAAATGCAATGGAAAAGA